TGAATATTTGTGGGAATTTTGCAAGTATTTGTCATTTGGAAGTGATTCTTTTGAAATTATTTTTTAACTCCAATTAATTTTTGTCTCCTCACTGCTGTTTATATTTTTTATTTTGTGAATATTTGTAGGAATTTTGCAAGTTTTTGTCATTTTCTTTTGTCTGTCTAACATTTCAGCTCTCATTTCTGACATATTTAAGATGTTAAAGATGTTTTTTTGGGAATCTTTGTGGGAATTTAGCAAGTATTTGTCATTTGGAGTGATTTTTAAAAAATTATTTTGTAACTCCAGCTCATTTTTGTCACATTGCTGCAGCTTATATTTTGTTTTTTGTGAATATTTGTGGGAATTTTTGAAATATTTGTCATTTGGAAGTGATTTTTTTATTATTAATTTGTGACTCCAGTTAATTTTTGTCACCTCGCTGCAGTTTATATTTTATTTTTTGGGAATCTTTGTGGGAATTTTGCAAGTATTTGTCATTTGGAGTGATTTATTTGTTATTCCTTTATATAATTTTTGGGATTCCAGTTAATTTTTGTGTCCATGTTGCTGTTTATATTTTGTATTTTGTGAATCTCTGTGGTCATTTTGCAGTTATTCTGTCATAATTGCTGCTGGGTTTTGCTATTCCTCCATTTTTATCTGACACTGAGTTCACGTTTCCCATGATGCTCAGGGAGAGAAAGGCTTTGAGCTTCCTCTTTGCTTTTATCTTTCTAACATTTAAGATGTTTGCATCATTTTTTGAGAATATTTATGGGAATTTTGCAAGTATTTGCCATTTGGAGTGATTAAAAAAAAAAAATCCTTTTAATCGTTTCTGTAACTCCAGTTCATTTCTGTTGTGTTTTGGGAATCCTAATGGGAGGCTCTATTTCTTCCAGAGCTGTAAGGACTTCACCCTGAGGCTGGCCGACAGTGTGAGGCGCCAGAGGTTTGGAGCCATCACCCCGGGCTTCGATTTAATGCTCGCTCTGAGGTAATTTCTCCACTTCAACCCCAAAAAACACCAGGAACCATCACAATCCTGGTCTGGACAGGAGGCCCCAGGTTCAGGAGTTTAACCCAGACATCCCTAGGCCACACCTTAAATACGAACCCTGCTTCTAGTCCTGGCTCTAGCCCAAGGAAAGCCTTCACAAAGGGGAACCAGGAGTACCTAAACTACCACCCATTTCAAGTGCTTGTATTCTGTTGTAGGAACTCTATTCTAAAACAAGAGTCTGAGTCCTTCTGAGGAAGTAGGAAATCGAAATGTACTTAAAGGGAAAAGTTCATGAAGTGAGAGCAACTAGCATCATCAAACAAGTGGTACATGAGGCACCGAGCTACTCTAAAGTAGAACAAGTCATGGTATATTTTATAACCCCCTTCGTCTGAAAGTAGAGGTCAAGTCTGTCCTTAATCCTACACCTGTATCCCCAAGACAAAACATGAAGAGACTAAATATAAAGAGACCTACTCTGAGACCTTGAAGGAGGAAAGAGCCCCATGAGAAAGACAATAACCCATTAAAATATTCACTTGTGGAAAGTTAACAGAGAGAGGTGAAGACATTGACTATACTTATACTGACTTCCCCTACAATTCGCAATCCCCTTCTTAGGGCAACGACCCAGATCGGGATCGGTGAGGGTTGTAACAAAGGGGCAGGACCCTGAAAGCTTCTCCTAAACCACAACGGACCGGGACAACACCCACCTGGGGGCTTTGAGTGTCCTTAGGCTCCTCTGGGCTTTGCCGTTGGGGGCATTGGTCCCTAGTAGGGTCAGCGAATACAAATAGTTCCATACGTGGGATCAGGTTAAGTACCGTTTAAGACCTCGAAGGGCGGCCTTAGATGATAGCGAGACCCTGACCTACTAGTAGACCAGG